GATGGTTCTTAGGTAAATGTTATGGTTTTAGCTTGCCAAGGGGCGCTGCAATGAACATTTAGGGTGCAAACAAATGTTGCCATTTATCTCCAAAACGGTTTGACCGATTACGATACGGTTTCATGTAAAGGGTTTGTAACTCATCAGCAATGGTTTTTAGGTAAATGTTATGGTGTTAACTCGCCAGGGGGCGCTGCAATGAACATTTAGGATGCAAACGAATGTTGCCATTTATCTCCAAAAGGGTTTGACCGATTTCGATACGGTTTCCTGTAAAGGGTTTGTGGCTCATTGGCGATGGTTGTTAGATAGGTTTTATGGTGTTCTCTCACCAGGGGGCGCTGCAAAGAACATTTTCTGTGGAAACGATTGTTCCCATTTATCTCGAAAACAGTTTGACTGATTTCGATGCGGTTTTCTGTATAGTGTTTGTGACTCATTGGCGATGGTACTCAGATAGATGTTATGGTGTTAGCTCGCCAGGGGGCGCAGCAATAAAAAAAATCACTCCTTAAAATTAATTGTAGCAAATTTTTTCCTCGAGACGGCTCCACCGATTTAGATGCGGTTATCGATATCTTATAACATACTAGCGATCTGCACCGGCTTCGCACGGGTGATTTCTGGATTTCGTCAACAGCGCCACCTACCGTGTCTATTGGGAATCTAAACGGTCAAATAAATTTAATCACACACACAAAATAATTATATACCTATATAATTATACATTTATACCTTTCTCTTAAATCATTCCGTCTATTGATAAAAACCTCATCAAAATCTGTTACGTAGTTTAAAAGATCTAAGCGTACATAGGCTGCACTAAAAGTATCGGGAATGGAATATTTCCACTGTTCCTGTCTTATTAAAATCTTTTTAATTGAAAACTCCTTGGTTTTAAAAATCGAATACCATTTATTTATTTAAAAAAGATTCTCGGTCTTGTCACAAGGTTTTGTCAAACTTGTTTAGTCGTTGAGAAAATGGAATTGACTCGAGAAAATTCAAGAGCGATGATTTATTATGACTTTCGAAGTGGTTTAACACAAAAACAGTGTGTTGGCCGGATGATTTCTGCATTTGGTGATGAAGCCGCATCCAAAACCACAATTTATCGCTGGTTTGCTGAATTTCAACGTAGACGTGTCAAGCTCAGTGATGATCCCCGTCAAGGTCGTTCAAAAACTGCAGTCACCCAAGAAAACGTTGATGCTGTGCTTAAGCTGATTGAGGAAGATTGATATACCGCGAAATTCAGGCATCTTTAGACATTGGCATGAGTCAAATACGAATAATCTTGCATGAACAATTAGGTGTAAAAAAGTTGTTTTCCCGATGGATACCGCATTCGCTCTGTGAAGAGTAAAAAGCGGCTCGCGTTACTTGGTGCGTCAGAACTCTCCAAAGATTCCACGCAGGATCCTCAAATGCTGTATACAACATCGTATCATGTGGCGAATCCTGGATATACTTATAAATCAAAAAAAAATCCGTCGGGGCTGCCATTCCCTACCCTGAAATGAACTAAAATTGTACATTTTTATGAGTTTGTGACTTACTGAAATGACAGCGAGTACGTAAATAAATGTAGTCTTTAATTGATATAAATGGCTGTATTTCTTAGATTTTCTTTTAAATTGAATAGGGGACAAAGATGGCAATGGCAGCCCAGACGGATTTTTTGATATATAAGTATATTACCTAATAGGTAGGTGAATAGGTGTAGTACCTATATTTTATATTATTGCTGTGTCTATCGTTACAACAAACTACAAGGTACACAAAGGTAGGAAGGACTAAGGAAAGACATAATTAGTTGTTTGTAATGACAGACCTCGCGGTAAATCAACCCTTTTAAAAACTCTTTTTATTTTTATCTTTCGTGACTTATTTCTTTTTAGTCGGGGGGTTATCAATATGTTTATTTAATCCTTTTTCGATTACAACTTTTACATCCGTCGTGGGTTTTTTCAAAATTTTTAATTTTGCTTTTTTATATATACGTATTGTTACCTGCAAAATGTTAACGAGCCACACCACACAACACACCAGTGTTAATAACTATTGGGGTTTTATATTATTATATTTTTTACCTGATCATGAAATAGGAGCGCTTGGCTAAGTGGACGAGGTGTCTGCCCATCTTACATCGTTTGTATAAGGCACAAAATTACCTAAATTGTTACTCTACGTATTCAAGTCAATCCAAAGGTCAAGGTAACAATAATATGTATTAACTTGCCGGACAACACACTACAAACCCAAACGGGTTGTCGTGTCGGAGAGCCATAAAAATCGTCGAGATCGTGGATTCGAGTCCCACTTGCCATATTTTTCTTGTCATGTTATCTATTTATCAGTAACCTTTTTCTGATGATAAAAAAAATCATAATTTTCTGAAAAATACTGCGCTACCATAAAAATATCTACTTTTGCCAGATTATCTGATTGTCTTTTTTCAAAGCCCGCTTCCATTTTCTTTTTTGTACAGCACTAGACACAGTGATTATACATATAAATGTAATCATATAAAACCTAAATGTTCAATACGTTAGTGTATAAATCAAATCAAATAGTTTATTTGTGATTCACAGGTTACGAAAAGGTCTTATTTAAAAGGTCTGTTAAGCTGGAATATTCATTTGGGCAAAATCACTTAAATTTTTTGCTAAATATTTAGTGTTCATTTAGTGCGAAATTAGTGCTGCAAATTTAAATTTCTGTTTTAATAGGTAGAAAACTGCTCGCTTTTAATTAAGCTAGCAGTATTGTACCTATTAAAACGATAATCGCTTAATACAGCACTAAATAGAAGCATCAATAATTTAGTGCTCATTTAGTGCTGCCGATATACGCAAAAACAAATATTGGGAAAATATTTTTTTAATATTATAAATTTTGCTACTTTGACATCTTTAGCAGAGTATGTGATGAAACATTGACATCCAAGTGATCATCATCATCATCATTATTATAGCCTTTCATAAGTCCACTGCTGAACATAGGCCTCCCCCAAGGAATGCCACAAAGCACGGTCCTGAGCCACCTGCATCCATCGACTTCCTGCATGTCTTACCAGGTCGTCACTCCATCTCGTGGGGGGTCGCCCTACATTTCGCCTACCGGTACGAGGCTGCCACTCAAGAACCTTTCTTCCCCATCGGTTGTCGGTTCTTCGAGCTATATGGCCGGCCCAATGCCACTTCAGCTTACTAATCCGTTGGGCTATATCGGTTACTCTGGTTCTACTGCGGATATACTCATTTCTAAGTTTATCACGCAGAGATACCCCGAGCATAGCCCTCTCCATAGCTCGCAGAGCGACCTTGAGCTTCCTCATCCGGCCAGCAGTAAAGGACCACGTCTCAGATTCGTAAGTCATCACTGGCAACACGCACTGGTGACAAAAAGCAAGGTCGACTTCACCGTCTTCAGATGGTACCTAATGGAATTCGTTAACGTTCGAATGAAATTCCCTGATGTTGCAGAAATTCACGGACAGCGTGGCAGGGATCACCTTTGTCTTATTGCTCTACTTACCACGAGCAGTATTAGTCTTGAGCGGAATTTCGACCCCCCCCCCCATCCCCAGGATACGCGAGGCAGCCTGAGCACCCGCTCTAAGAAAGGGTAGGGTAGCTTGGACGTGAATGCTTAGCCAGGGATTCTCCAATACCAGGGGTGCTGGTACCCTCCTTGGATGGTTTCTTATTTAATTACACTACTTCGACCACCTGTACTTAACAGGCAAGTATACTTACCGTGTGGCTCTTCCCCTGTAATGTTGTCTGCCTATATTATTAATTGTAATCTACTTCGTCATTGTTTATGCGTTACACATAATACTTAGTAGAAAGTAGCTTTGCTTTATTATGCCCTGCAATGGGCGACAAGGATAATGTTTTGCACCTTTAAAATATTTAGTTTAGTTGAAATAGGGCCCCAATTTTATTTTAGCCCCGGGGCCCTTGGTTACATAGCTACGCCACTGGGTAACACATTTATTAAATAAATAAAATTAACCATATTGAATCGCCTTAGTAGGTACGAACAATCAATCGGCAGGTACTTAATCGAATCGCCCACAATCACACACGCAGCAAGCGTCTGCGGCCATGCCGTCATGTAGCCATACCTACGGTAAAAGGATGTTAGAGTCAGCACAAAGGGGATTCACAATCAAGGCCATAAGGGCCTTTGGAACGTTTAAGTCTTAGCTGTAGCGGCGGTTGATCTAATCTCTCGAACGAGAGTTCTAGAGTTCATTATCATCATCATTACAGCCTTTCATAAGTCCACTGCTGAACATAGGCCTCCCCCAAGGAATGCCACAAAGCACGGTCCTGAGCCACCTGCATCCATCGACTTCCTGCATGTCTTACCAAGTCGTCACTCCATCTCGTGGGGGGTCACCCTACACTTCGCCTACCGGTACGAGGCTGCCACTCTAGAACCTTTCTTCCCCATCGGTTGTTCTAGAGTTGCACGAAGTTAAATACAGAGTACCAAACTTTTGCTGCCCAGCGTTATCCTACGCCACATATAAAACCTCCAAACCGACGACGGTGAGCGAGGTCGAATTCATCATTACAGCCCATTACAAGTTCATTACTGAACATAGGTCTCCCTCGAGGAGCACAAAGCAGGTTTGAGCCACTTGTATCCATCGACTTTCTGCATCTCTTACATGTAGTAAAAGGCCTTCCTAGATTTCGCTTACTGGTACGAGCCTCCACTCGAGAAGCATTCTTTCCCACTGGCGACCGAATGAGAAAACCTTAAATTCATCAAAAATAGTCTTCTTACCTAATGACTAGTGCGAGGGTATCTGTTTTGTGGGCACCAACTCGCGTGTGCTTCTCAGTGGACGGTTGAAAATTATTTTCTTTATCATAAATATTTATTTTAGTAAATTAACATCTGTTACACTTAGTATTTTGCACTAGTGATTTCTCCTGCCGTATTTCCTTGTTGTATGATAAAAGATTAAATAAAAAATTGCCATTGTAAAAGATTTAATTAATAATAATAAGATTCTTATTAGATCATATACAATTCTATTATTAATAAGGTTTAGGTTAATAATGAAAATAATACTGAAAAAATAGACTGTTTCTTGTTTTATATTATGAGACAAAATTGACATCACGAAAAATTGCTCTGAAGAAACTATAAAAATACTTAAATATTTATCCATTTTATGAAAACAATGCAATTATGAACATAATGATTTCTTATATTTACGCGAACACTACACATTTTTAAATAAAACTAATTAAAAATTATGAACATATTTCTACCTGCACTATCAACAGCACAGTTTCGACACTTCAGGTCAGAGGAGGTGACACAGAATGCACTATGCGTGGTTTACGCGTAGCGACTGGAACATTTCGCAACACCGCCTCCTCCTCCATCACAACCTCCTTCGTCTTTATTTCAGTATCCTCCGGTCCTGTAGCTTCTTCCGTTGCGGCGCTCTCCTCCTGCGCCAAGTCTCGCCTGCTGTGATCTACGTCGGACAGCCGTCGCTTGCGGCGACGCACGCGGCGGCGTGTGCGACGCGGTTTTTCGCCATTGGCAGGAGCTACTTCGTTCTCGACATCGGCAACAGACGAATCGCCCGCACAACACTCGAGCAGCGATAGAGCTTGCCTCTTCATAAGAAGCAAAGCTTCATTATGTTTTTCTGTTTCCAATGGCTCGGTTGCAGCGATCGATGACTCTTTACCGGTTGAAGGTGTAGGTGACGTAATTCTTTCAATCTTCTGTTTCTCCTCTTGATCTTGTGTAGTTATCGTGCCATTGTATTCCTTGTTGCTGTCTACGTCCAAAGCCTCACCGGATAAAGGAATCACCCTATAATGAAAAAATCTAGATGATGAATTACAAAAATAAGTTCTGCCATTAATAGAGATTGCATATAATTACCCTAAAAACAGTCCATGGTCGATTGGCTAAGCAAATAACTTCTGTCTACTTGATAATAATGTGGCAAATATTTAGCTAGGTTAAATACTGGGTTTGCAAAATTGAATTTCTATGGCTAAATAGCAGAGCCTACACTGCTGTGTTCCAGTCTGAAACATATAAATAGCCAGTATAATTACAGGCTGTGAGGTATTCCATTTTAGTCCTCAGAGGTGACAACTCATCATTAGCCTTCTTGTTTTAAGTTGGTTGTAGTAGCTACTTGCCATTTAGTGTAGTATAGTAGTGTAGTAGATTTGTTTGTCACTTCCGTTTTATAAAGTAAAAGACATTGAAAGCGGCTAAAAAAAGCAGACCCAGATCAAAGGTACTAAAAAGTCAAATAGAGCTAATTAATTGGCACTGTTAATAATGCTCCCTACCAAAAGATCATGTAATTTGGGTTCTGTATTTTCATCAGTCAGTTGCTTGTTAGTATAAAAAATAAATGGTGATCACCATGCCCCATTATACTTATATCATAATAAAAACGAATACAAATTTTAAGAACCATTTCATATTACCCATAAAAGTCCACGACTGAACATGGACCTCTCCCATTATAAGGAGGAATCACCACGCTTTAAAACTGCGCCCATAACCAGTCTAGGTATTATTTTATTTTTATAGTCTTGTGTAAGGATGAATGTTCTATCGCCATGTATTTGAAGAAACACAGACAAGATTTTTAGGAATTTCCCATAGTTACTTCATATACAACATATAAAACCTCTTTTGTCAATTAAACTGTCATATAAGAAATGGGGTAAATAGAAATCGCGGGGTGAATAAACACAAGTCTGGTTATTTGATAAAGTTGTCTGTAGGTTTGTCTACAGCTCGGGAACATCTTTTTAATACAATAAAAGTTTTGGCCAAAGGCATCCACCACATCGCAATAACACCGCAAAAAATTCCGTATGAAAACATTATCTGTAGTGTTGAGGACTGTCTGTATAAAAATAATATTGGTAAAGAAGATTTAGAGGCTATACGTCAAGACATTTCGTCCTTGTTACGTCGAAGCTCAGCGCCGAAATTAAATCTTCCCAAAGATGAATTTACTGCATTGAAAAACTTACGCAACAGACCAGATCTTACGATTCTCCGCGCAGATAAAGGTAATGCTACGGTTATAATGGATACGTCGGATTACAATTTTAAAATACAACAACTTTTATCGGATGAAAGTACGTACGTAAAGGTCAAAACAGATCCTACAACTAATACGCTTAAAACAACTAGCGATCTAATAAAGAAATACTCCGAGAAATTGAATCTAGACGTTAATTCGATAATACCTGCGTGTGCGAAACCACCGAAGTTAAAACCACCAAAAATACACAAACCGAACGCTCCATTACGTCCAATAGTGAGTCAGATAGTTTCACCAACTTACAAATTTGCTCAACACCTAGCAAAAGTACTATCACCACTCAGAGGACACACAAGAGCACACACGAAGGATTCATACCATTTTGTCAGTGAGATAAAAGACCTATGTCTTACTGACAATGAAACTATGGTCAGTTTTGATGTTCAGTCTCTATTTATATGCCTACCTGTTGAAGACTGCATCTCAATTGTAACTAAGAAACTAGAGGAAAACAACATGCCAGCAGAATATGCAGTATTACTCAGACATTGCCTTACATCTGGCTATCTATTGTGGAAGGAACAGTTTTACAAGCAAGTAGATGGTGTTGCGATGGGCTCACCAGTATCTCCCATTGTCGCTGATATTTTCATGGAGGACTTTGAGGAGAAAGCCCTGCTTACTGCACCAGTAACTCCAAGTTTCTACAAGCGGTACGTAGACGATACTTTCACAATTTTACCATCAGACAAAGTAACTGCATTTTTAGAACATCTTAATTCTATAAACTCTAAAATTCTATTTACTATGGAGTTAGAGGCAAATAATTAGCTTTTTTAGCTTTCCTAGATGTGTTAGTCATTAGAAATCCTGATAATACCATAGCTCACACTGTGTATAGAAAAAAGACCCATACAAACCGATATTTAAACGGTGAATCCCACTATCACCCTTCACAGTTAGCTACCGTGGGCATATCTTTGTTACAAAGAGCACGAGGGATCTGTGAAACACCTGGCCGCCGAGCTTCAGCACGTCAAGCAGGTTCTGCCCGACAAACAAGCTTCGGGTTCCGCGCCTACGTCACAGTGACCGAGTGAAGCCGGCCACAGTCGATCGTGTGCCTGCTGTACTACCGTATGTCAGAGGTGTCACAGACAAGATTGGCTACATCTTGAAGCGAGCTTCTATTAGAACATTCTTCAAGCCGCCGAAGAAGATTAGTCAGTTCTTACCATCCGTCAAGTGCAATATTCCTCTACAAGATGCAGGAGTGTACAAGCTCGATTGTGAGTGTGGTCTCTCATATATAGCGCAAACAAAACGATCTATAAAAACCCGCGTAAAAGAACACATAACTGACGTGAAGCACCAACGTTCCGGGAAGTCTGCAGTTTGTGATCATATCCTAGAAGACCCCCGCCATTACATTAGATTTGATAAACCACAAATTCTCGCGAAAGAACATCGATTCCTGCCAAGGATGATACGTAAGGCTATTGAAATTAAAAAACATCCTAATTTCAATAGAGAGGGAGGCTGGGTACTACCACTTGCTTGAGATCCTGTAATTCATAAAATTAAAACTAAACCCAAGCATACCATTGCAAGACTTCAAGACACAGTTAGTTCATTCTGCGTAGATCGGACCAAAATTATTAATTAAAAAAGCTGAAGGTACTACGGTTTAACACTGACATCGGGACGTCAATCACCTCAGTCCCACCGAAACGTCGGGAACATAAAATAAGTTAATTAAACGCGATAAAATCCGTAAAAATAGTTTTATCCAATGTGTAGTGTTCGCGTAAATATAAGAAATCATTGTCTTTTTATTACTTTCCCGGCTTGGAAGAGTGCTTACTTAGTTGGTTTAAGCAGTGTCGGAACCAAAACATCAGTGTTAGTGGACTAATATTACAAGAAAAAGCCGAAACTTACTATAAATCATAGGGTCTGGCTAATTTCCGAGCTAGTAATGGATGGCTAGAAAAGTTCAAAAGAAGACATGAACTTGTTTTCAAGACAGTTTGGAGGTCATTAATGAATGGAAAAAAAATGGAAAAGTGAATTGCAAGGCTTTATAAATGCTTGTGAACCTGAAAATATCTTTAATGTTGACGAAAATGGACTGTTTCGTAAATGTATTCCTGATAACACTCTAACTTTCAAAATGATAGATGCCATGGTGGAAAGCACAGCAAGGAACGTTCGACTTTTTTTCTCGCAGCAAACATGTCGGACACAGAAAACTTTCACCATTAGTCCTTTGGAATATAAAGCAAATGCAAAAGCATGGATGACTTTCTTTCAAAAACTGGCACAAACATTGATAAGAAAATGGCTAAAGATAAAATATATTATTTATTGATAATTCTACGAGACATAATGATATTCCACAAATGAAAATGAAAACAGTTGCAAACCATGAAAATGCTGATAAAGCTTGGCAAAATGTAACTGCGATTACTATAAAAAACTGTTCTGTTCAGTGGTTTTTTATTATTATCAGCATAAGAAACTGAAGTCGAAGATATTTCTATTTAGTGAATGTAGAATGGAATACAGTGGTACCTCAAACAGAAATATGTTTTGAAGACTTTGTTACATTACAGTGTAGAGTTATCACTGCTGGAACATTATCTGATAATCAAATTAACGATTCAGTTGCTCAAAAAACCGAAAGTAATGATTTGGATGACATAGCCGACTCGAATAATGCAACATGTGCTCCATGGGGTTCCATCAAAGAGTCAAGAACCGCATTTAATACTTTACGGAATTTTATAGAGCAAACCAGCAACTCTGAAGATAAAGAATTTTCTGCTCTTTATACCTTAGATAATGCTATAGATAGATAACATCCTAATTATCTAAAACAAAAAAAATTACCGACTTCTTCTAATATTTTGAATTTTAAGAATGTTTTGAAATGATGTTGATTTTGTTCATTTTTTTAATATGTAGGAGATATGGGACGTCAAATCCAACACAAGCACAAAACTCAACTACAAAACAATCCACAGGTATCCTGGTTAGTCCTTGGGCTGATAAAGATCAACACTCCCCAACAAATGACAAATTTTTAGAAAAACATGTATGGACATTCAATGTCCTCCCTCACTCTTATGAAAAACTATAAAATCCATGAACTGGAAAAGTATAAAAAAATTTCAATGGTTCATAATAGGTATGAGCGAGGTGAGACGAGAGAGAGACGCGTTGATTGAACTTAAATCTGTAAATCTGTTGTATTACTATGGAGTGAAAAAGGGACTGTATGGAGTTAGATTTTTAATAAATAAAGAAATCAAAAATTATAATACAAGTATATGCCACAGACAGAGTAATAAACTTGGAACTAACAATAAACAAAACCATATATATACATTTATTCCAGCGTATGCGCCAACCACCGACGCTTCTGACACAGAGGTGGAAATCTTCATGACTGATGTTGAAATAGCATATTGGGAAAGCAAAGCTAAATACAAATTTATTATGGGTGATTTTAACAGCCACATTGGTAAACGAAAATCTCGTGAAGATACAATACAATACAACTACGGAACTAGGAATAGCAGATGTGATAAACATATACTCCTAGCACAGACACTAAACCTAAAGGTGGGAAACACGTTTAATAAATCAATAACAAGTAGAAGATGGACGTGGGAGCATCCTAAGAAAATAAATAAATCCAAATTGACTTCATCTTAATAAAAAAAATCTAATATAAATAACATTACTAAAAAAAATGCCGTGTAGTGGCGGTCAAGAATATCCACTACCCCATATCCTCCCGTGGGTGTCGTAAAAGGCGACAAAGGGAAACAGCCAGGAGATGGGCAGCAGCATCTTCCTGATAATAGCCAAATTACAATAAAAAAACTGCGGTTGCCAACCCGCTCGCCAAGCGTGGCAACTATGGCAAATACCCCCCAATGATGAGAGCAACAAAAAAACGGCCCCCAGTCCCCGGCGGCCCCGCTATTCCTGGCTACGGTGGCGACCATGGTAACGGCGGGGCAGGGGGTGCTAAGAATCTCCGGTGGAGGTTCGGTTGCCACCTTAGACGACTCGACCTGGCAACGTACAACGCACGCACCCTGAGGACTGACGAGAAGATCGTGGAGCTGGAAGAAGAGATAGACAAGTTGCGCTGGCATATTATAGGATTATCCGAAGTCCGAAGAGAGGGGGAGGACACGGTAATCCTCGAATCCGGCAACTTGCTCTATCATCGGGAGGGCGACCATCTGTCCCAAGGAGGTGTCGGATTTATCGTCCACAAGTCTCTCGTTAACAATGTTGTAAAAATCGGGAGTGTGCCGACGAGGGTTGCGTACCTTATACTCAGAATCACCAAACGGTATTCGCTGAAGGTCATACAGGTTTACGCACCAACCTCGGCACACCCCGATGAGGAGGTGGAGGAAATGTATGAGGATATCTCTAGAGCCATGCATTCCTCCAAAACCCAATATACGGTGTTAATGGGAGACTTCAATGCAAAACTAGGCACAAGAGAGAACCGTGAGCTGAAAGTAGGGAAATTTGGAATAGGGCAACGGAACCCAAGGGGCCAGCAGCTGGCCGACTTCATGGAGAAAGAGGGACTCTTTATGATGAACTCTTTCTTCCAGAAGCGGCCCCACAGGAAGTGGACCTGGTCGAGCCCCGACGGTTCCACAAAAAATGAGATTGACTTCATTATGACGACCAGACGACAACTGTTCAGTGATGTCTCCGTGATCGCGAGGGTGAAAACTGGTAGCGATCACCGAATGGTTAGAGGCACACTGAACCTAAACGTTAAGTTGGAGAGGTCTCGTCTAATGAAGTCAACGCTCCGTCCCCCTCGTGCTCTATTCCAAAGTCCCGAAACCTTTCAGCTCGAGTTACAAAACCGTTTTCAGTGCCTGGAAGACTGCAATGAAGTGGACGATATGAATGACAAGCTCGTGGAAACTGTCCATGCGGTTGGAGCTAAGTTCTGCAAGACCCGCCGCAGAAGAACACAAAAACTCTCCGATCACACTCTTAATCTCATGGCTGTTAGACGGGAGATGAAGCTACATTCTTCAACAGACTTGACAGCATACAGGCATCTGAACAGACAGATCTCCAAATGCATGCGGCGGGACTTACGCAACTTCAATACAGCTCGTATTGAAGAAGCGATCGAGCGGAACCAAGGCTCCAAAGTCTTTGCCAGAGATCTGTCTGCCAGAAAGAGCCAACTGTTAAAGCTGAAGACAGAATGTGGCAGCATCGTTTCCGGGACACCTGAGATTTTGAGTGAGATTGAGAGGTTCTATGGGCAGCTGTACACATCATCGTTGGAGCCACACGCAAGTGTGAGTAACGATCCAAGAGCGAGTCTCATCCGACACTATTCCGAAGATATCACGGATGTCAGTCTGAGCGAGATTAGGATGGCTCTCCAGCACCTTAAAAACGGTAAAGCCCCAGGCGAGGATGGAATTACAGCGGAGCTTCTGAAAGCGGGTGGAAGACCGGTACTTGAAGTCCTTCAGAAGCTCTTTAATTCCGTCCTCCATGGTGGCATTACACCGGAGGCGTGGAGCAGAAGTGCGGTGGTCTTGTTCTTCAAGAAAGGTGACAACGCTCTCTTGAAGAACTACAGACCGATTTCCCTTCTGAGCCGCGTCTACGTGCTGTTTTCGAGAGTCATTACGAATCGTCTCGCGCGCAGACTTGACGACTTCCAGCCTCCCGAACAAGCCGGTTTCCGAAAGGGCTTTAGCACCATAGACCACATACATACCCTTCGGCAAGTTGTACAGAAGTCCGAAGAGTACAATTTGCCACTATGTCTGGCGTATGTGGACTATGAGAAAGCCTTTGATTCCGTCGAAATTTGGGCGGTGCTGCAGTCCCTTCAGCGGTGCCAAGTTGACTGTCGGTATATCGAAGTGTTGAAGTGCTTGTACAGTAGGGCTACGATGGCTATCCGAGTACAGAACCAGAGTACGAAACCTATCCAATTGCAGAGAGGTGTAAGACAGGGTGACGTCATATCCCCGAAACTCTTCACCGCTGCATTGGAAGACGTTTTCAAGCTTCTGGACTGGAAAGGATACGGTATCAACATCAATGGCGAGTACATCACTCACCTTCGATTTGCCGACGATATAGTCCTTATGGCAGAATCGCTGGAGGACCTAAGCACTATGCTCAATGACCTCAATAGTGTTTCCCAACGGATAGGTCTTAAGATGAACATGGACAAAACTAAGATCATGTTTAATGTCCATGTCACACCTATGCCGGTAGTTGTTGGGAACACTAAGCTCGAAGTTGTTGACGAGTATGTTTACCTGGGACAAATAGTCCGACTGGGTAAGTCCAACTTCGACCGAGAGGTCAATCGACGGATTCAACTCGGCTGGGCAGCGTTCGGGAAGCTAAGACACATCTTCTCGTCAGACATACCTCAAAACCTTAAAACGAAATTGTACAACCAGTGCGTGTTGCCAGTGATGACTTACGGAACTGAGACGTGGTCCTTCACTGCTGGCCGTATGAGGAAGCTCAAGGTCGCTCAGCGAGCTATGGAGAGGGCTATGCTCGGAGTTTCTCTGCGTGATAAACTTAGGAATGAGGATATCCGCAGTAGAACCAGAGTGACCGACATAGCCCAACGGACTAGTAAGCTGAAGTGGCAGTGGGCCGGTCATATAGCTCGAAGAACCGACAACCGATGGGGAAGAAAGGTTCTCGAGTGGCAGCCTCGTACCGGTAGGCGAAGTGTAGGGCGTCCCCCCACGAGATGGAGTGACGACCTGGTAAGACATGCAGGAAGTCGATGGATGCAGGTGGCTCAGGACCGTGTTTTGTGGCATTCTTTGGGGGAGGCCTATGTTCAGCAGTGGACTTGTGAAGGGCTGTAATGATGATGAATGACTAAAAAAAAAATTTGAAAACTTAACTTTGCTTCTGATCACCGTTCCGTCAAAATGATATTGAAAATAAATAACTGTAAGAAAAACAGAAATATAAACAAAAGACATATAATAAAAAATTACTTTACTTTAGCAATAGAAGAAATAACAAAAAGACTATTTAAAAACACTGAATTTAAAAATTCAGTTTTTTTTTATAGGATATGGGTGACAAACGAGCATATCATCTGCGGCCCATAGTCATCTACTTCTATCCTCTATTACAACTCAAAATGAAGATGCGTTGTCACCCGTGAGGACTAAGATGGAATGCCTCATTTCGAGTAAAAAGGGTCTCCGGTTCTCTACGCTCACCTTATGAAACACAGCAGAATTAAGCCGCTATTTTACGCTGGTATTCTGTGAGAGAGTGGTCCTTCCCCGGTTTAGCCGATCCATTCGTGCTACAACTATACTACTAATATAGCTGCAGCATGGCTCTACCATGTATAAATGAAAATGTACAAAATGAATACAATCTCATAGAGGAAATAATAAACAGCGCTATGAAAGAAACAAAGAAAGTACAACCGCAAAGATAAGAAGTTATTTTCGCAGAGGAGACCAGAAGATTTCAAAATTCAAAACAAACATTGACAGAAACGAAAGCCAAAAGTAGAGCCGACAAAAATAGACTTAAAGCAGTGAAAAAACCAGAAACTTGCTCAAATAGAATAAGCTTTAGCAGAAAACTGTGCGATTACACGAGCAGAGAAAATTACGTCTATTCTCTATATTCTATTGGCAAAGAACTAATAACAAACTTAAAACATGAGGGAAAAAAAGTTGAGATGAGAAAGGAAATTGTAAACACAGCCACAAAGTATTTCAAACACTATATACCAATGTCAACCATGATCCGAGTATCTATGAGAAAAAATAGTGTAAAGATGTTGAATCATTCCTGGTTGACGAGACAATTTCAGCAATATCAAACCTCAAAAATGAAAAAGCTTCGGGTCCAGATGATATCTGCAACGAAATTATAAAATACTCCAGCTATGTTACATAAAGTCATCACACATTTATTCAACAATATTTTGAAAAAAGAAGTCTTACCAAAAACAGTAGCATATATCAAACATAACAAAATTACACAAAACAGGAAGCAAGCATAACCTAGATAATTATAGACCCGTAAATAAATGTATGAAATATGGCTACACAGCATATCTGGCTTTTATTGACTTTACCAAATCCTATGACTCAACTTACCATAATTTTTTGTTCGAAACACTTGAAGAACAAGGTTAAAAATATCTAAATATCCTAAAACATATTTATAGAATCAGCAAGGCAAGAATAAAAACAGACTAAATGGGGTAACCATTTCCATTGAAAAAGGGTGTCAAAAAGGGTGACCCAATTTGGCCAATTCTCTTCAATGCAGTTCTGGAGAAAATTTTCAGAAATATGTCTTGGTCATATAAACGCTTAAGAATAAATGGAAGATACTTAAACAATCTGTGGTTTGCAGATGATGTCATTATCTTTGCTGAGACACCAAAGGTCTTAGAAGAAATACTCAGGGAATTTGAAAGTAAGTGCAAAGAAGCAGGCTTGGAAATGAATAGGCAAAATTGCAAGATCATGACCAATGGGGAGCACAAACCTATTGGACTTGGAGGAACCCTACTGGAGTATGTAGAAGACTTTATATATCTTGGACAAGTTATGTCATTTAAAAACAACCAAGATATGGTGATAGAACAAAGAATAAACAAGTCATGGAAAAAATTTTGGAGCCTAAAATTTATTATGAAAAGTGATCCATGTCTAAAACTTAAAAGTAAGAGATTTAACACTGCCACCCTACCTACCTTAACCTACGGATCACAAACATGGAGTCTTCCTAAAGCTCAAGTAAATAAACGAAAAGTAACGAAAAAGAAAAGAGCAATTGAAAGATCAATGCTTAAGATTTCCAAAAAAGACAGAATCAGGATTATAGAGATCCAGGACAGGACAGGGGTGGAAGATGTCATAACAAAGATTAAGAAAAATGGGCATGAGCTGGACATCTCTGCAGACTACCAAATGATAGATGGACTAAAACAATTACAGAGTGGATCCCGATGGACAAAAGAAGGAAAAAGGGAGACCAAAAAGGAGATGGCCAGATGAACTCTCGAATTTTGACAAATACTGGCACAGAACAGCCCAGAATAGAAAATATTGGGAAAAGTTGGGGGGAGGCCTTTCACACTAATAGTGACATATAAATAATAAAAATATAATGAATCAACTTAAAAATTTAAAGTAAAATTTATTTGTATGTAAAAATAAAGGCTACTAATACTAATACTAATGTGACGTAACTTTTAGGTTGAAAATAAATATGTTTATTACCTACAGAGGTAATCAGAATTTTTATTTATTTCACCTCTCGAACTCAAAATCAATTAGAATGAATATAAACTTCTACAAATTAAATATTTCCTTACAAAATCTGCTTAAGTCGAAACCCTTCATAATGTGGTAGAGCTATGCTGCAGCTATATTGTTGTTTCAACACAAATGGGTCGGCTCAACTGGGGTAGGACCATGCTCTCACAGAATACCAGCGTAAAATGCAGCTTAATGCTGCTGTGTTTTGTATGGTGAGTGTATAGAATCAGAGACCCCTTTCACTGGAAACTCCATTTCAGTCAGTGAGAATTCCATCTCAGTCTTCAGGGGTGACAACACTTCTACATTTTGATTCTTAATTGAGGATAAATGTAGATGTCTATGGGCCACAGCATCCACTTACCACCAGGTGGATTATGCACTCATTTGTCACCTTTATACTATAAAAAAGTCGAATCTTTGGCGTCTCCCTTGAAGTTTGACTATATATACATATTTACACCAACAATAATAGAAAACATCTTGATCATGAAATTGCTACTTTTAAAGGGTATAAAATTTAGTAAATTTTCTTTTTGAATTAATATTAGGTGTTTAGATTTAAGATTACATAAGGTACGACTTTACATTGACTCCAATCGAGTTGGGGTTGGTATGTATTTTAACAGAAAAGTTACGCTATTATAAGCACACACACAAAGTTACAATATGCGGAAGCGTGTAATTTTTGAGAAAAAAGTTATTGAAAATCAATTATTCTTGCATTGTTTATGTCTAATCCTACAATAAAACTGACGCAATTTTTTTATTGTTATTGTCAGTAGGGATGTAGATTCTTTCCGAAAAATATCAATTTTTTAAATAGATTTGAATTGTAAGCTGATGTATCGATTCCCAAAAAATCGATTTCAATAATATCTATATTTTTTTCATGTTTTGCATTTATAATGTAAATATAAATCCATTTTATGAGAAAAAAGTCCCCTTCATCATAAAATATAGGGGGACTGATTCAGAAGGATTTCCGTATTTATTTGAGACTGCTACGTCTCCGGCGCTGCGGGAAAAGCAGCCTCTACGCCTTAGCGTAACAAATCGCAGGCATCCCTCCTCACCGTTACAGCAGGCGGAGGCTGCTCCCCCTACGCGCCTCTGGCTCTTTAAAACCACTCTAGGGGTAGGACAGACTCGTACCAGGTGGAGTCGGGGTCAATCAATTCGGTTCTTTGACATAAGTTGAACCTAACCTATTTTATTTGTTATCTGCCCTAATTGGTACTGTTAAAATAAAAGAAATTTCAATAAGAGATCATTTATTATGGTATCTTTCTTGTTTTTCAAAATATGGAATTATATTTACATTATAAATGCAAACATAAAAAATATAGATATTTTAGAAATCAATTTTTTATGAATCTATACATCAGCTTACAATTTGAATCGATTTAAAAATCGACCTTTTTCAGAAAGAATCAACATTCCTACTGACGACAATGACATCACAAAATGGCATCAGTTTTATGGTAGGATTAGATATAAACAATGCAAGAATAATTTATTTTCAATAACTTTTTTCTCAAAAATTATGCGTTTCCGCATGTTGTAATTTTGTGTGTGCTTATAATAGTGTAACTTTTCTGTAAAAATATGTATCAACCCCCAACTTGACGTGAATCAATGGAAAGCTAAGCCTTACACAAAAATATGATGGTAATTTAACCAAATAAAACTGTGACATCATAACACCATATTCTCATACGATTTCTAAAGAAATGTTTGTTTTGACAACTCCTAAAAAGTATTCAAGTAACTTGTCTCCAAACTACAGTTCACAACTGCAACTTAATTTCTATTTGTTGCATTTGTAGAAACTACAATTTATTTGTACTTCAAAACTATAAGGTTGATATGATGAAGTAGATGGTTGTTGGCACTTAGAGCTTAATAAGAGTCAGTCAGTGTGGTCTTTAGGCCATAAAACTTAAACTAGAATACCCAAATAGAAAATCACTTAATAATTTCTTATATTTACACAAAACTACACATTAAATGAAACCACCCATGGTCACGGAGGGAACCATGGGTGTTGTAAAGCACCTAAAACGTCGGGAATGAAAAAGTTAAATGCAATAAAATTCGTAAAAATTAGTTTCAGAAAATCACTTGACAAATATATAATACTTACTCAACAGGGTCGTCAGGCTGAAGAAGTGACAGTGGTTCCTCAGGTGGCAAAAAATGACCCCGACTATGCAGGTAGAAGGGGCCACGCAGGGCAAACAAGGTTTGTAGGCGTTGCTGCAACCAATGTACTTGACGCTGCCGCACAACACTAACATACACTTGGGAACGATGATCAGAAAAGTAGTGCTGAAGACACACTCTTACACGAAATCGTTCTTCCTTCATGTCATCTATATATTCAGATTCCATATTTCAGACTGATTGAGGTATAAAGATTTTCAAAATTTATCTTGACACTTCTATGGTTAAGTAAGTTTATTCTGATTACTGAAAATTATTTTTCTTAGGCTATTGCCTTAGCATATACATATGTTAAAAATTAGTACCTAGTGTAATATCAAACATTATTTTTTTCTGTCTAGCCAGAACTAAATAGTTCAGGAATAGAAAGAAAATGAATCAGAAGTAACTTACAGTATACAGTAGTATTGAACACTATTATATTTTAGACGAAGTAAATACTATGTAGTACTTATATGTACAACTTATAGCAAAGAGCAAGGTAACATAAATACTACATTTAGGTTATGGCATTCTTAGTGATTACATACTATGTTTAATAAAGAATATAATAAGGTATTCTGTGTAAATTTTCAAGTTTATATAAGTAATTTTTGAAATATGAACAATGAAAAATGATCAGTTTGTTTTCCTGTCAATGTCAATTGTCAATTTCTTCCTTATATATTACTATACTCTTTGGTCAAAATTTTTTTTTTTTTGGAGTTTATGGCCTGGTATCTAGACCTTTAGGCCAAGTCTTAAGTATTTTTATTCGGTTTATTGTAAAGTCCCCACTCCTTCATAGTATACTGCTTCACAATATGTTGATGCGTCACATTGTGCAGTTCTTGGGAGATTTTGGCGGCAACTTGATCCAGCAGACAGCTGATAGTTGGCGATGGTATCTAAAGGTGCCTATGCAAACATACAGCTTATCTTGAGAATCCATCACCATCAGAGCACTTGTTTCACTGTTTCCACTAATAGTTCACATGCGTAGACACTTAATACACAAAATCGCAACACTTTTACATATCAAAGTCCACTTCAAACCATTATTTAAACAATAATACAGGAGCAGCAAACCGCCGCCGGTCAATTTCCCGCCAAAACTCCCTTTGGTCAATGTCATGTTCACAGACCATAGATAAATAAACATGTAGCAAAGATATTATAACATACCGTAGAGAGAAGTTACAATGTATAATTATCTTCCATAGTACACTGCTTCACAATATGTTAATGCGTCACATTGTGCAGCCCTTGGGAGATTTTGACGGCAACTTGAGCCAGCAGACAACTGACAATTGGTGATGGTATCACAAGGCGCCTAAGCAGACAGACACCGTATCTTGAGAATCACATCACCCTCGGAGCACTTGTTTCACCGTTTCCATTAGTAGTTCACATGTGCAGACATTTAATACACAAAATCGCTCCACTTTTACATATTAAAATCCACTTCAAACCATCATTTAAATAATAATACAGAGCAGTAATCCTCCACCGTTCAAGTTCCCGCCAAAACTCCTTCGTATAGAAAATATAGCAAGCTATCGCAGACTACTAAGAGGTGGCCATGTTCATGTTTTTTATTTAAAGCCAAAGGTATATCAGACTCGTAGATAGAGGATCGACTAGATAAAGCATTCGCGTATGCTTTTGGGATAGAAATAGGTGGGAGGTACTTTCCCTGGGTTACCAGATATTGTTTCATTTCCCCCGTTATAGTTTAAACTCATACAACAAACTTATTTGTTACAATAAAAGAATATTCTTTTATAATTCAGATGATTAATTCATTTCTCTTGAAAATACATTCTTTAACTAAAAGCTATGGACATAAAAGCAGAATCATCGATCCATATTCAATGGCGCATCGACGATTTTACTAGGTTAATAAAATATACTCTTTTAATTTCGACGGCACTAAGTGTGATATCACTAATAAATAGCAATATCTTATGTTTATAATTAAATATTAATTAATAATCAAAAAATCCTAGTGTCGATTATTACGTTGTTTTTACAAAGTTCATAATATCAATAATGTTTTATCATAACAGTTCATCACAATTTCAGAGCTGAACACAGGCCTCCGAAAGGAAAAGGTTTCCACTTAGGTTTTGTAGTACAAACACGGTTGTATGCCAAAAACCTAAGTGGTTTCAAAAACACGGTTCTGTGCCAACTCTCACAATTCAGAGAGTCAGAAGAGGATGTTCATCATGTTCTATGAGAATGTCCTCTGTATAATGACCTAAAAGTGAAAATGATGGATGGACTAGTTCGTCCGGTTCAGGGAACAGTTTACTACTTGGATCTCGTCAGCGATGTGGTGAACTACGGACTGTTGCGCGAGTTTGCGCATAGGTGACACGATCGCAGGACAAGGCAGGATGGAAGGCTGGTAGGAGGGCTCGACGACGTAGGCGTCAATGTGTCGTCAGCCTCAGAAGGGGGAGAATGACGTTAAACTGGGACAAGGAAGAGATTAAATATTTGTAGGGAGTCAAGAAAGTGTGCGCGGGAAAGAGCCACGTGCAAGTACCGCGCGCATCTCCCGGGATTCAGCCCGTATGACCTGAGGGTCGGCGGGGCCATGGGAGGTGATGGTTTTGTTCCCATCTCTGGGCAGGGGCTCCCCAGTGCCAGCTCCTTCCACTTGACCGCATCCAGCGCAGAGCGGCTCGAACCGTTGACGACCGAGTCCTTTCCGATCGGCTCGGATTAATCCCAGCCACCAAATTTCACGTACGCACATCGCGGCAGAACTCCCGATACCATTCACACCATCTGGATGATACTTAGGGACCTTCAAGAAAAGAGCGTATTCTCTGCAATTCCCCTGGTTCCCCTGGTGTTGCCGTTGTTCATAGGCGGGGTAGTCACTTACCAGGTGAGTCGCATACTTGTTTGCCCCCTCTCCTATAAAAAAAATCAATCTAAGTCCTAGTCATGTAAACGAGTTATATTATTTACAAATTTTGTTCCCATCTCTGGGCAGGGGCTCCCCAGTGCCAGCTCCTTCCACTTGACCGCATCCAGCGCAGAGCGGCTCGAACCGTTGACGACCGAGTCCTTTCCGATCGGCTCGGATTAATCCCAGCCACCAAATTTCATGAACGCACATCGCGGCAGAACTCCCGATACCATTCACACCATCTGGATGATTGGCGGTCCACCACTGTGCGATTTAGAAGATGTTTTCTTCCTCGCACAACTTCCTTGTGGAATAGTTTACCACCAGCGATTTTTCCGGATCGATACGACTTAGGGACCTTCAAGAAAAGAGCGTATTCTCTGCAATTCCCCTGGTTCCCCTGGTGTTGCCGTTGTTCATAGGCGGGGTAGTCACTTACCAGGTGAGTCGCATGCTTGTTTGCCCCCTCTCCTATAAAAAAAATCAATCTAAGTCCTAGTCATGTAAACGAGTTATATTATTTACAAATTTTGTTCCCATCTCTGGGCAGGGGCTCCCCAGTGCCAGCTCCTTCCACTTGACCGCATCCAGCGCAGAGCGGCTCGAACCGTTGACGACCGAGTCCTTTCCGATCGGCTCGGATTAATCACAGCCACCAAATTTCATGAACGCACATCGCGGCAGAACTCCCGATACCATTCACACCATCTGGATGATTGGCGGTCCACCACTGTGCGATTTAGAAGATGTTTTCTTCCTCGCACAACTTCCTTGTGGAATAGTTTACCACCAGCGATTTTTCCGGATCGATACGACTTAGGGACCTTCAAGAAAAGAGCGTATTCTCTGCAATTCCCCTGGTTCCCCTGGTGTTGCCGTTGTTCATAGGCGGGGTAGTCACTTACCAGGTGAGTCGCATACTTGTTTGCCCCCTCTCCTATAAAAAAAATCAATCTAAGTCCTAGTCATGTAAACGAGTTATATTATTTACAAATTTTGTTCCCATCTCTGGGCAGGGGCTCCCCAGTGCCAGCTCCTTCCACTTGACCGCATCCAGCGCAGAGCGGCTCGAACCGTTGACGACCGAGTCCTTTCCGATCGGCTCGGATTAATCCCAGCCACCAAATTTCATGAACGCACATCGCGGCAGAACTCCCGATACCATTCACACCATCTGGATGATTGGCGGTCCACCACTGTGCGATTTAGAAGATGTTTTCTTCCTCGCACAACTTCCTTGTGGAATAGTTTACCACCAGCGATTTTTCCGGATCGATACGACTTAGGGACCTTCAAGAAAAGAGCGTATTCTCTGCAATTCCCCTGGTTCCCCTGGTGTTGCCGTTGTTTATAGGCGGGGTAGTCACTTACCAGGTGAGTCGCATACTTGTTTGCCCCCTCTCCTATAAAAAAAATCAATCTAAGTCCTAGTCATGTAAACGAGTTATATTATTTACAAATTTTGTTCCCATCTCTGGGCAGGGGCTCCCCAGTGCCAGCTCCTTCCACTTGACCGCATCCAGCGCAGAGCGGCTCGAACCGTTGACGACCGAGTCCTTTCCGATCGGCTCGGATTAATCCCAGCCACCAAATTTCATGAACGCACATCGCGGCAGAACTCCCGATACCATTCACACCATCTGGATGATTGGCGGTCCACCACTGTGCGATTTAGAAGATGTTTTCTTCCTCGCACAACTTCCTTGTGGAATAGTTTACCACCAGCGATTTTTCCGGATCGATACGACTTAGGGACCTTCAAGAAAAGAGCGTATTCTCTGCAATTCCCCTGGTTCCCCTGGTGTTGCCGTTGTTCATAGGCGGGGTAGTCACTTACCAGGTGAGTCGCATGCTTGTTTGCCCCCTCTCCTATAAAAAAAATCAATCTAAGTCCTAGTCATGTAAACGAGTTATATTATTTACAAAATTATTTTTTAAGATACATATTATTATGACATGTGCCTGAAGAATGTGTAAATATTTACAGATAGTAATTATTTACACCTTCTTCTAGTTACTAATTTTACGACAACGGCGAGGCCATAAATTATTATCAACTATATAAAAAAGCTATAAAACTAAATATATTTGTTGCAAAGATTTCCATGTTGAAAGAAGAGTTAAGATTGTAGATCGAAATGAGGACATTGCCCATGCATCCTATCGACGCAAAGATGACAATTAGTGTACCTTAACATCATGGATGCAATCATCAGAATGTCTGTAGTAATTAGCAGTAAGTCAATAAGTAGGCGTGATCGGTCCGTATAGTAATAAAAGTATAAGTCGTCAGCATAAGCAGGAAAAAGTGCAACGGTAAACAAAAAACGGGGAATCAGCACAAGCAAAAATGTGATATAATCATAATCAAATTAGTTGATGTGTGAAAATATTTGACATTCATTTCACATAATATGTACTTAGGATATTGACACAATGACGTGTGTGTCATTTCACAAAATGCACGAAAATCAATGATTGTTATTCCGTAATTATCTAATGCAATTCATGATTATTATCGACTAATAATAATAATTGAAAATAAAAATTGATAAGTAACATTTTTATGACATAGAATTATAATATATTTTAATAGAAATATGTATTGTTTGATACTATATGCGTACGTATGTACTTATTCGTACAAAGAAACGCAGATATTATTAGAAAAGACTGGAAATGTAAATATGCGTACGTATTTTCTTATTCGTACAAAGAAACGCAAATGTTATTAGAAAAGA